TTCAACCCCTGGGAGCTTTTGCTCCAGTTATTAAAAATAAAAGGATTGTATATGTATGTGTGTGCAAGAGATCCTTCCCTTCCTGAGACCCCCGAGACCTGTCCCCAGTCAAAGAGACAGTCTGGGACCCAATGGATTGATGGTTTGATTCACTGAGTGCCCTTCACTATTCTTATATCAAAGACCAAGCTGGCAATCAACTCTATGCATATTTGATTTGGGATTACATCCCACTGAAATCTGTTGGATTCACTTTTAGCTAAGTGGGCATGTGTTATGATCTTAAATATGCCTGTACCTATTTCTCTCCTCTTCCACCCACATTTAGATGCATAAGTTACTAGGGGCAGAGACCCATTTGCCATGGTCTTTCTAAAACCTATTTCAATGTTTTTGCTTTGCTTATTATTTACTCTTATAATCTGATTTCCTCCACATCCTATACTTTCCGCTGATGTCTCCTCCAGCCTTATAGGTTTGCCAACTCCTAGGAGCAAAAATAATCATAATCATAATATCTTTTTTTGTTTGCTGAGTTTAATTTGCAAGATGTCACAGGCCTGTAATCATTAACAGTTAAGTGCAATCATTACAAGATACTATTTGCTGCAAAGGGGAAGGACTATTCCTTAGAAAGAAGGACTACAGTACTACTCAAAAACCATATGGAGATGATGGGGAGGGAAGGAATGTCTTCCTATGCCCTTGTTTTATTATCTTTTCCCTGCTTCCCTGTTGTCTCTTCCTCTATCCGTCTTCTAGGTTTGCAATCCTCTCAGGGCAGAGACCCATAAAATGTTCCTTCTCCCTTTTTCCCTGGGTTTCTTGACTTGATAGGTACTACCTAGTTTCTGATCCTAACAATTTACTAAAGAGGAAGAAGACCTTCCAGGTATGATACGGAGGGAAAGAAGGTCTTCTTGTGTAATTCTCCTGCTCACTTCTTTCCCTCCATATTGGTGTTCTCCTATCATCCATCTCTTGCTTCCCCAGCCTTCTCCTCTGGGAAGAGACCCATGAAATGTCCCTTCTCTCCACCCCCCCTCAGTTTTCTGACTTGACTTTGCAAGCTCTGTGATCATAACAATTCACTGTGATCATCACAACCTACTAATAACCGTGGGTGATGGGGAGAGACAAAGAATGGCCCTATATCACTGTTATCCTGTTTCCTCGGTTGCCTCCTCATCTATCAATCTTCTAAGTTTGCAATCCTCTGGGGCAGAGACCCATGAAATGCTCCTTCTCCCTTATTTTCCCTGGTTAACTGCTTCCACTTTACAAAGTGCCACCAGTCAGTGATCCAAACAGTCCACTAACACCTACGAAGGGGAAAATCTTACGAAGATGATGGGAACGAATTTTTAAAATCCCCCTTATGTCGTTCTTCTCCTATTCTCCTGTTTCCTTCTTTCCTTCCGTATCCTTGTTCTTCTATCATCCCTGCTTCCCTTGTTGTCTAACATTTCACTAGCAACTGCAAAGGGGAAGGAGGAAGACTTTAGGGAGATGATAGAGGGGAAGAGGAAAGAAAGGAGACAGTTTGAGCCTTCGACGGCATCTTTGGCCTCTTCCACACAGCTGAATAAATAAAATAAAATCCCACATTATCTGCTTTGAAGTGGAATATATGGCAGTGTAGACTCAAATAACCCAGTTCAAAGCAAAGATTGTGGAATTTTCTGCCTTGATATTATACATATTATATGGCTATGTGGAAGGGCTCTTGGCCTTGGAGCAGTGACCCATGAAATGCTCCTTTTCCCCTTCTCCCCATTTCTTTTCGGCTTGATCCTAACAATTGCCTAACAGCTGCAAATGAGAAGGAAAAATACCTTAGGGAGATGATGGAAGGAATGAGCTGGTTGGGACCAAAAGGGGAGGTGGAAGGACCCTTTGGAAACGCATCCCAGCAGTTCCCTAATAGCTACAAAGGAGAAGGAGAAAAACCCTCAGGAGATGATGGACATAGGAGAAGGAAGGAACCAGATGGTTGGGATCAAAAGGGGAGGCGGAAGGGTCTGTTCTTTTGGAGACACATCCCAACAGTTCATTAACAGTTGCAACTGGGAAGGAGAAAGACCTTAGGGAGATGATGAAAGAAGGAGACAGTTGGGGAGGCAGAAGGGTCCCTTCCTTCGGAGACACATCCCAATAGTTCCCTAATAGCTGCAAAGGAGAAAGACCTTAGGGAGATGATGGAAGGAATGAGATGGTTGGGACCAAAAGGGGAGGTGGAAGGGTCCCTTCCTTTGGAGACACATCCCAACATTAACAGCTGCAGAGAGGAAGGAGAAAGAGCTTGGAGAGATGATGGACGGAGGAGAAGGAAGGAAGCAATGGTTGGGACCAAAAGGGGAGGCAGAAGGGTCCTTTCTTTCAGGGACACATCCAAGGAGAAAGATCTTGGGGAGATGATGGAAGAAATGAGACGGTTGGGACCAAAAGGGGATGGAAAGGTTCCCTTCCTTTGGAGACACATCCCAACAGTTCCTTAATAGCTGCAAAGGGGAAAGAGAAAGAACTTAAGGAGATGATAGAAGGAGGAAAAGGAAGGAAGAAGATGGTTGGGACCAAAAGGAGAAGTGGAAGGGTCCCTTTGGGGAAGGAGAAAGACCTTAGGGAGATGATGGAAGGAGGAGAAGGAAGGGATGAAAGGTGGAGGCAGAAAGGTGCATTCCTTTGGTGATAGATCCCAACAGTTCCTTAACAGCTGCAAAGGGGAAGGAGAAAGATCTTAAGGAGATGATGGAAGGAGGAGAAGGAAGGAAGGAAATGGTTGGAACCAAAAGGGGAGGTGGAAGGGTCCCTTTGGGGAAAGAGAAAGACCTTAGGAAAATGATGGAAAGAGGAGATGGTTGGGACCAAAGGGAGAGGCGGAAGGGTCCCTTTGGGGAAGGAGAAAGACCTTAAGGAGATGACTGAAGGAGAAGGAAGGAAGACGACGACGACTGGGAGGCAGAAGGGTCCCTTTGGGGAATTACAAAGACCGTAGAGAGATGATGGAAGGAGGAGACAGTTGGGGCCAAAAAGGGAGGCGAAAGGCTCCTTCTCTTTGGAGACACATCCCAACAGTTCATGAACAGCTGTAAAGGGGAAGGTGAAAGACCTTACGGAGATGATGGAAGGAGAAGAAGGAAGGGACCAAAAGGGGAGGCGGAAGGGTCCCTCTGGAGAAGGAGAAAGGCCTTATGGAGATGACGGAAGAAACCAGACAGTTGGGACCAAAAGGGGAGGCGGAAAGTTTCCCTTCCTTTGAAGACGCGTCCCAACAGTTCCTTAACAGCTGCAAAGGGGAAGGAGAAAGACCTTAGGGGAGATGATGGAAGGAAAAAAGCATCCCTCCATACTGTGGTTCTCCTATCACCCTTCTTCCCTGGCTTCCCAGTTGTCTCCTTCTTAATGTTATATTCCTTCTCCCCTTATTTGTCCTTTTTTTCATGGCTTGACTTTGCAAAGTGTCATCCCTTCCTTTGGGGGGACATCCCAACAGTTCCCTAATAGCCACAAAGAAGAAGGAGAAAGACTTTAAGGAGATGATGGAAAGAGGAGAAGGAAGGAACCAGACAGCTGAGAACAAAAGGGGAGTAGGGAAGGGAAGATACATCCCAACAGTGCATAAACAGTTGCAAAGGGGAAGGAGAAAGACCTTAGAGGAGATGATGGGAAAGGAAGGAAGCATCCCTCCATACTGTGGTTCTCCTATCTCCCTTCTTCCCTTGCTTCCCAATTGTTCCTTTCTCTGTTATAAAAATCATCCCTCCATACGGTTCTCCTCTCACCCTTCTTCCCTGGCTTCCTGGTTGTCTCCTTCACAATGTTATGTTTCCTGCCCCCTTATTTGCCCCTTTTTTCCAGGCTTGACTTTGAAAAGTGTCATTCTGAGGATGACACTTTGTCATCCTCAGAAGAGAATGCTTCTAGAATATGGCCATATAGCCCGAAAACCCTACAACAACCCTGTCATACCTTCCTTTGGGGACACATCCCAAACAGTTCCCTAATTGCCACAAAGGAGAAGGAGAAAGAGTTTAGGGAGATGATGGAAGGAGGAGAAGGAAGGAACCAGGCAGCTGAGACTAAAAGGGGAGGTGGGGGAACCTTCAGGGTCCCTTCCTTTGAAGACACATTCCATAAGTGTATAAACATCTGCAAAAGGGAGGGAGAAAGACCTTAGAGGAGATGATGGGAAAGGAAAGAAGCATCCTTCCATACTGTGGTTCTCCTATCACCCTTAGAAGGAGGAAACAGTTGGGACCAAAAGGGGAGGCGGAAGGGTCCTTCTCTTTGGAGACACATCTCAACAGTTCATGAACAGCTGCAACAGGGAAGGAGAAAGACCTTAAGGAGATGACAGGAGGAGGAAAAGGAAGGAACAAATGGTTGGGACCAAAAGAGGAGGCAGAGGGATCCCTTTGGGGAAGGAGAAAGACCTTACGGAGATTCTCCTTTTGGTCCCAACCATCTTCTTCCTTCCTTCTCCTCCTTCCTTTGCTTCTCAGCTGTCTCCTTCTCTATGTTATAGGAAGCATCCCTCCATACTGTGGTTCTCCTATCACCTTCTCAATGTGATGTTCCTTCTCCCCTTATTTCTCCTTTTTTTCCTGGCTTGACTCTGCAAAGTGCCATCACTGCCTGATTTTGAACATTCCCTATAAGGGGAGAAGAGGAAGGCTTGAGGAAGCGATGGAGAAGAAGGGAAGGCATTGAGATGGAGGAAAGAGGAAGGTGATGGAGGGGGAGAGGGATTAGATGAGGCTTGGGAAAACAGGGCTTTTGGACTACAACTCCCACCATTCCTGGCCTCAGGCCCTTTCCTTTTCCCCCTCAGCCGTTTAAGCGGCTGAGGGGGGAAAGGAAGGGGCCTGAGGCAAGGAATGGTGGGAGTTGTAGTCCAAAAGCCCTGGAGGGCGGCAGTTAGCCTAGGCGTGGCTGAGTCAAGGGAGAGGTGCTGCCTCCGCCCCCCCGTCCGCACCCCTGGGGCCCCTTCCCCGACTCACCCGGGCGTACTTGGAGGAGTAGGGGTCTTCGAAGAGGGCCCAGACCTTGGGCTGCATGCCGGCCCACCACCCGAGGGAGCGCCCGTCCTCCTGGAGGCAGAGGCGCTTGAGGTCCCCGCTGTCCTCATCCTCCTGGCTCTCGGGGGTCTCGAAGCTGTCGAGGGCCTCCTCGGCGTCGCGGTGCTGGCGGTAGTTCATCCAGCAGCAGGCCTCCACGTCGGTCTCGTCGATGCCCCAGAAGGCGAGCTCCTCCTCGAAGAGCGGCCCGCAGACGTCGGCCGGGCAGTGGAGCTTGCCCGTGCGGTAGTAGTTGAGCACGTAGGCGAAGACGGCCGGGTGCCGGTCGAAGAAGAACTCGTCGGCCTTGGCGTCGTAGTCGAAGTTGCTGGCGGCGTCGGGCTCGGTGAGCCAGGAGAGCCGCGTGCCCGGCAGGGTCTTGAGCGTGCTGCGGTAGGTCTCATGCCGGATCCCGCCCACGTTGATGACGATCTTGTCGTTGTCCTCGTTCCGGCCCATCTCCCCTTTCAAACATGACTTGGACGGCGGCTTGTTCCCAGACTTGCGCCCGCGGAAGGAGGAGACGCACACTGAGCTCAGCATCGGGGGCAACGGCGGGGCCGGGCCCGCCCGCGGAGGCGCCGCCCCCGAGGCTGGCAGGCGTCAAATCAGCGGCCCGGGAGCCATCGCGGCCACGCCCGCCGCCGAGCAGGCCACGCCCCCTTCCGAGGGAGGGAGGGGGAAGGAAGGAGGAGGGAGGCAGCAAAAGGGGACGGAGTTGGCAGAGAGAGAGGGGGAGGAAGGGAGAGAAAGAGAGAGAGAGAGAGAGACCGCGGCAAAGGGTCTGCAAAGGGAGAGAGAGACAGAGAAAGAGAGAGAGAGGGACGGGAAGGTGAGTTTGGACGCCTGGACGACTCTTCCCCCTTCCCTATCCCCTCTTAAGCCCCCTTTCTTGATCCTCCACCCCTCTCCTACACACCCACCTCACGCTGCGACTTTCAAGTCTTTGGGGCTCCCTTTTGGACCCCTCCACTGCCTTTCCCCCCATTTGCTCCCTTTCTTTGGTTGCCCCTGGGGCTGAGAGCCTAGCCCACCTCCTCACCCCCTAATTTCCCCTTCAAGGCACTCTTTATTGCTGGACACATACACCCGGAGACTTCCCTTCCTTGGGCTGAGATCCAAGCCCACCTCCTGCAGCTCTTTGAATCTCCCTTCCACCCCACTTCCTTTCCGCTTCAGGGCATCCTTTACTGCTGGACACACACAGACGTCCCTTCCTTAGGGTAAGATTCTAGCCCACCTCCTGCAGCTCTTTAGATCTCTCATTCTCCTCCTGCTGGACACACACACAGAGAGACTTCCCATCCTTGGCGTGAGATCCTAGCCCACCTTCTTGGTTGCCCCTTGGGTTCTCATCCTAGCCAACCTCCTGAACACACACACACACACACAGATCCTAGCCCACCTTCTTGATTGTCCCCTGGGCTCTCATCCTAGCCCACCTCCTGCAGCTCTTTGGATCTCTCTTTCTCCTCTCCTCGCCCCTTCAGGGCACTCTTTACTGCTGGACACACACACAGATAGACTTCCCTTCCTTGGGCTGAGATCCTAGCCCACCTCCATGGTTGCCCCTTGGGTTCTCATCCTTGCCCACCTCCTGAACACACACACACACAGACTTCCCTTCTTGGCGTGAGATCCTAGCCCACCGTCTTGGCTGTCCCCTGGGCTCTCATCCTAGCCCATCTCCTGCAGCTCTTTGGATCTCCCCTCCTCCCCACTTCCTCTCCCTTTCAGGGCACCCTTTACTGCTGGACACACAGACAGACTTCCCTTCCTTGAGGTAAGATCCTAGCCCACCTCCTGCAGCTCTTTGGATCTCTCATTCTCCTCTTCTCCCCTTCAGGGTACTCTTTACTGCTGGACACACACAAAGATAGACTTCCCTACCCTGGGCTGAGATCCTAGCCCACCTCCTTGGTTGCCCCTTGGGTTCTCTGATCCTAGCCCACTTTCTTGGTTGTCCCTTGGGCTCTCATCCTAGCCCACCTCCTGCATCTTTGGATCTCCCTCCGTCCCCACTTCCTCTCCCCTTCAGGGCACTCTTTATTGCTGGACACACATAGATAGACTTCCCTTCCTTGGGCTGAGATCCTAGCCCGCCTCCTTGGTTGCCCCTCGGGTTCCCATCCTAGCCCACCCCCTGGCATGTAGCCAGGGGGGGGGGGCTCGGGGGGCTTCAGCCCCCCCCCGAAATTCTCATGGTGGTTCGCGAAAAGGCCTTACTGGTGCATTATTTAAACTGTTATGTTTATTCATATCATGATCTGATCACCATACTCAATATATCCCATATGCATGGGGGTATTGGGGTAATGATACAAAAGGTTTGATAGGCTAGACCCTCTTTCACTCAGACTCAGCCCCCCCCGAAACTCAGCCCCCCCGAACCCCCCCTGAAAATTTTTTAGCCCCCCCCCCGAAACGAAATCCTGGCTACGGGCCTGCACCCCCTGAAGCTCTTTGGATCTACCTTCCCCACCCCCTCTTCTCTCCTTCAGGGCACCCCTTATTGCTGGGCACACACACCCAGAGACTTCCCTTCCTTGGGCTGAGATCCTAGCCCACCTCCTTGGTTGCCCCCTGGGCTGAAATCCTAAACCATCTCCTGGGTTGCCCCTTTAGTTGAGATCCTAGCCCACTCCTGCAGCTCTTTGGATCTCTCTTTCTCCTCTTCTCTTCTCCCTTTCAGCGCACTCTTTACTGCTGGTCACACACACACACTTCCCGTCCTTGGGCTGAGATTCAAGCCCACCTCCTTGGCTGCCCCTTGGGCTCTTATCCTAGCCCACCCCCTGCAGCTCTTTGGATCTCCCTTCCTCCCCACTCTCCCCTGCAGGGCACCCTTTACTGCTGGACACACACATACACAGACCCCCTTCCCCATCAACACCCCCCCCCCTTTTCCTCTGTCCTCCTCCTAGCCCCCTTCGCTTTGTCCTCCCCGTCTCCCCATGGCTTCACACCCCCTCCTCTTTTCTTTCCGACCCCATTCTTCCTCCCTCTGCCGCCCTCCAACGTCCATTCAGTCCCAGCCCTTCCTTTCTCCTCTCTGTCCTCTGCCACTGTCCCCACTTCATTCCCTCTTTCCCCGTTTGGTGCACGAATCCTGCTGGCGTGTGCTGATTCTTCCTCTCTCGTGATCCTTTCCTTTCCTCTCTCTCCCAGCCTCCCCCTCCTTCCCTCTTACCCTCTCAATCTTCTTTTCTTTCTTCTCCCCGTTTCCCCCTTCCTCGGTCTCTAGCCTGTCATTCTTTCTCTTTCATTCTCAGTCTTTCAATCTGTCCCCCCTTTCTTTTTGTACCCCCGGACTTAACTTCCCCTCCCTCCCTCTCTCCTTCCCTCCTTTCCATTCTTTCATTGCATGCTTCCCTCCCTCATCGTTTCCTTTCCTTTCCCCTCTCCCCAACCTTCCCTCTTTCCCCCCCAATCTTCCTTCCTTTCTTCCCTCCTTTTCCTCTTTCTCAGTTTCTTCTCTTCCATTCTCAGTCTTTCAATCTGCCCCCTTTCTTTTTGTACCCCTGTACTCAACTTCCCCTTCCTTCCTTCCTTCCTTCCTTCCTTCCTTCCTTCCTTCCTTCCTTCCTTCCCTCTCCCTTTTCCTCTCCCTCTCCCCCTTTCTCTTGCTTACTGCTACTTCCATTCCTTTATTCTTTCTCTTTCCTACTTTCTTCCTTTTCAATCTTTCCTCTCTCTGCTTCCTTCCTTCTATTCTCTTTATCCTCTTCCTTTCTTTCCATTCTTCCATCACCTCCTTCCCTCTATTCTCTTTTTCCTTTCCTTCTTTCTCTTTTCCATCCATCTACCAATACATCTCCCCTCTTTCTTTTCTTTCTTTTTTCCATCCATCTATGCTTTGCATCCCCCTCTTTCTTTCCCTTCTTTCTCTTTCCTTCCCTTCTTTTCCCTCCCTCCCTCCATTGCCTGCTTCCCTCTTCTCTCGTTTTTCTTCCTTCCTTTCCATCCATCTATGTCTGTGTCCCTCCCTCTTTCTTTTCCTTTTCCTTCTTTCTCTTTCCCTCCTTCGACCACCTGCTTCCCTCTTCTCTCTTTTTCTTTTCTTTCCTTCTTTCCTTTTCATCCATCTACCATCTGCACCCCTTCCTTTTTTTCTTTCTTTTCTTCCTTCCTTCCCTTCCTTCCACTGTCTGCTTCCCTTTTCCTTCTTCTCTCTTTTTCTTTTCTTTATTTCTTTTCCCTTCCTTCCTTTCTGTCCATCTACGTCTGCATGAGAGTGTCCAAAAAGTTTCCACACAAGGACTACAAGTGCAGGAGAAACAGACAGAGCCTTGCTTGTGGTGGCTCCCTCTCAATGCTTCCCCTTCTTTCCCAGGCTCAATCTAACCCCTATTTCCAAGCTCCTAGCCCCTTTCCCTTTCCAAGCATCTCCATTCCCTTGTGTCCTTCCCTTTCCATGTCTTCCCAGCTTTTCCGCCTTCAGGTTTTCCTTCTGCCCCTTTCTGGAGTGCAACCTCCACAATCTGCCAGTCAGCAGCACCAGAGCCAAAAGGTCCAGGCAGTTCCAGGGTGCAAAGAAGACTTTTGGCCAAGCTCTGCTTTACAGGCATTGCAGTGCCCTCCATTTGTCCTCTGCCTCTCCCCAGGAACCTTCCCTGCACCCCTTATTAATTTTCCTCCAAAAGATCCCAAAGATCTCCGTCCTTCAATTCACTTGGAGGTCTTTGTGACCTCCTCTCTGAACCCTCTCATGCCTTCTTATTTGCCCTTGAAAGCTTTCCATTTCTCCAAGCATCATTCCTTGCGCTCTACTCCGCATCTCCATAGCTATTTCTCAGCTCCTACTCCCCCCTCTCTCTCCCTCCATAGGCCCCATAACTATTCCTTGGCCCTTGATCTCCCCCTCCCCACATACTCCCATGGCTACTTTTCAGCTCATCACTCCCTCCTCCCCTCTCATAGCTACTCATCTCTCTCTTTCTTCTTTGTGGTCCCTGTGAAATGCGCACATATGGCTGTGCGAATTTCACGGGTGACCACTCAAAGAAATACGGTTACAGGTAAGAACATATCTTCTTCTTTGTGGTCCCTGTGAAATGCGCACAGCCATATGTGCGAATTTCACAGGTGACCACTCAAAGAAACATGATTACAGGTAAGCAACCATTCCTTCTTCTTCATGGTCCTTGTGAAATGCGCACATATGTCTGTGCGAATTTCACGGGTGACCACTCAAAGAAACATAGTTACAGGTAAGCAACCATACCTTCTTCTTTGTGGTCCCTGTGAAATGCGCACAAACATATGTGCAAATTTCACAGGTGACTGCTCAAAGAAACACGGTTACAGGTATGCAACCATTCCTTCTTCTTCTTCATACTCCCCATGAAATACACACAGCCATATGTGCGAATTTCACAGGTGATCACTCAAAGAAACACGGTTACAGGTAAGCAACCATTCCCTCTCCATATTTTTCTCGGCTCTTGATCTCTCCCCACTTTTCAACCTCTTACTCCACTGTGCCCCTGGCTACTTCTGGTCTCCTCATCTCTTCCCTTCTTTCATTTTCCATAGCTATTACTCAGCTACTAATCCCCCCTCCCCATACACCCCATAGCTACTTTTCAACTTCTCACTCTCCATGGCTACTTTATGATCTTCTCCCTTTCCATAATTTCTCCTGAACCTTTTCTCAACTTCATGTCTCCACTGCTTTGTGATTTTCCACTTCCCCAGTAGCATACTCCATGCTTCCTCAACCTAGCGCCTTCTAAATATGCAGAGCTACAACTCCCGGCCATAGTGGGGGAGATGGGTTGTAGT